CAACAGATGTAAGTGATCTCCTCTGAATTCTCCTGAAGAAAGGTGCATTGTCTCTGCAAAATGTTTAGTTCTGGATATCTAGAGTTGCTGCAGGACTGAACTGGGTGGGTGTCTTCCTCTCGTTCCACCTCCTTCTCCACAGCTCCCAGGAGAACAAAAGTTTCCCGGTGGTTTCTGTTCGGTTCCCCCACCCCCATGCGGTGGGTGTCGTGCCTGCCCAGGGCTGAAAAGACAACGTTCACATCTTAATCACGTGGTCTTTGGCACACAGTAGGCACTTGAGTAATGTCTGAGTTGAACAAAAATTCAGATATAGCACCAGACAGACTTTCAGAAAAGTTTTGACTCCTTGAGATCTCCACCCTTATTTTCTTGTCCTTTTCCTCAGGGATTCTGAAGGTCTTTTACTGTGTCTTAGTATCTCACCCGTCTGACTGGTCAAGACCTGAGTTCCGGGGCTCTCTTTCCCACTGAGGTGTAAAGGGCTAACAAGTGGCCTGCTTCTTATTTGCATAAGAAATAGCAGCAAAGCCTTGACATCAAAAGATAAAATCTCCAACAAAGTTTCCTGGGAGATTTAAGAAGCCCATCAACTATAGTTTCAGATCATTATATTTCAGGTGGTAGCTAAGTTTAGGGGCATTTTTCTGACAAAAGTTGATATTTCATTAGAGCTTTGGTTATTCATTATCACCAGTATCTTGACTTGGTGGTGACATTTTTTATTCCTTACACCTTGTTTCATTTAATTATTTTTGAAACTATTATATTTGAAGACAGTTACAATCCCTAGATTCAAATCCCACTGAATCATGTAGGGATATAAGAGTTTAGTGTAGCTGTAATAAATCAACAATGAAAGAAGGGAAGCACTTAGAATTTATTTCCCCTACCTACTCCAGGAGTTGGTGAAATAAAGCCTTCTCCTCTCATGGAGAGCATAAGGTGAATCACAGAGATTGGTTTCCTTATGGAAGGGAAGTTTCAAGCTGAACAAATGATTGCACATTTAAAAATATTAATAGTTATTAATGAGATATTATTTGAAAGTAATAATAGCTACTGATCGTGAACCAGACACCATAGTACGTGCTCTACAAAATTTATTCCATTTTTAGAAGAATCACATAGCTATCTACAATTCACAGATAAGAAAACCATATCTCAGAGAGGTTAAGTAACTTACACAAAGACACCCAGCTAGTAAAGGAACTGTTAGAATGTTAAACTAGGGATGTCAGTCTTGAAAATCCTGGTTCTGGCAATGACAGGGAGTCATTGGAGCACAGTTAGAGACTCCATTTATTAATAAAGAGACCAAGGTCCAGGGAAGTCCAGCTACACTAGCTAGAAAATCTGGCAGACTGTCTAGTAAAAGGCAGAGTGGATTCCTGTTCTCATTCTAACCTTTTCTCTAGTCTTCCATGCCCTCGCTTTGTTGTTTTTTTTGTCCAAAGGTCCAAGGTTCTTGTTACTTTGGTAAAATTGGTCCTCCGTTTAGATGCAGAAACTCCTAAGATACTTGGTGTTATTTTGAAAAGCCTTTACAAATTACAGATACTTTTGAAATTCAACCTTAATTCAAATAAGCATTTAAAATGTACTTTGTAGCTCAAGATTTTATGGTAGGCACTGTACAAAAAGAACAATTATGCCAAGAATTTCAAATTATTGAATTATTATTTTCATTAAGCTTATAAGCTTATATGTTTTGACATATCTCTTATTGGATTCAAAATACTCTCAATTTCTCACAGCAGTGGGGAGGCTAGTTTTATTAAAGAGTCAAGCTAATTTATACTAAAAGTAGGTGATTTTAGGCGCTTTTTGTGTGGTATTCTATTGTATGCTTTCGACTTCACTGAGTGACTGATTTGTTGCAAATACTCTCAAACGTCTGAAAATTCCAAGGCGTTTTCCAATAAAGTAGGGGGTTTGCATAGATGGTAGACCAGGACCACCATCATTTTTTTCATTTTTGTCCTGTTTTTAAGGAGGAATCATGACTGTTGGATTAGAACACTTTTCCTCTAGGTTGTCACAGTGGACAGAGGAATTTTCAGCACCTCATTTCTTTTTTTTTTTTCTACTATAACTTTTATTATGGAAAACATTGAACCCACTTAAGCATAGAAAGAATAGTATAATGAATTCACGAGTCCCATTATTCGGCACTTAAAAATATACCCCAAATTTCCCAATTCTCTTTCATCTATTTATTCCTTTACTCTTTTTCTTTCTTTTTCTTTTTTTATTGCAATGTTTCTACAGAAATCCAAGCTATCGTATACTTTCATCCTAAATACTTCAGTATTCAACAGCTCATTTCTGATCTTCAGCCCAGAAATGCTATAAAGAGGAAGTTATAGTTCAGTTTTCCCAAGTTAGCATTTCCTGCCTCTTGGGTCTCCAGATTATTGGGCTGCTTTGGGTCCTGAAAAGGGAAATGGGAAGAAAAAAGGGGACGGACATCACTGAATGTCCCCTAGCAAGTGAAGCCTTGCTTTCAGGCAGCTGTGGCTAGAAAGACTTTAATAATCAGTGTGCAGATACCGGGGCGGGGGGCAGGGAATGGTTCATGTTTTAGAAATTTTACTGTTTCTAAGGAGGCAGCCAGTCGATTTCCCATTTCAACCACCCATACCTGCAGCACTCAAATCTTGCAGAGAGGCAACAAGCAACTATTGTTTAAAAACGTTTTAAAAATAATTCGGATTGCTCTTTTTCTCCGCTGAGTCTGTGTACAGAATGACAGGTACCAATGTTCATCTCCTTTTTCAATAAACCTCAGGGAGACACGTGAAGGAACCTAGAAATGCATTCCTTAGAAGGACTTCGTGCGGTTATTTTAAATAAGTTATACGCACACGTACATATATATCCCCCGCGTGCATTTCTTTCCCCCTTTTTACTTGTATAAAATCAGTAGCTACAATAACTGAAATCCACTTCCTCAGGCTGTGACATTTCAGCAGGTCTTCCACGGAGAAGTCAGAAAGTCTGGAGCCGCACAAGCTGTCCCTCTAGGCCACCGACTCGCACGGCTACTGCCCAGCGCCTCGCCAAGCGCGCTCAAGTAAAAGTTGCCCATATAATTAGCCCGGGTCTGAATTTGCACAAGTGGAGTAGACACGATGTGCTACGGAGGCCAATGCCCTGAAACCGTGGCCGCGATCTGCTTTCTCCTCCACACCGCCCTACACCCCTCGTTCTTTCTCTAGGATTTCTATTTCAGGGATGGCGGCTACTCAGGCAACCCCTGGGACACTAAGAGTTTCTCCTTGAAACGCTTTCTGATTTCGTCTTCTGCAATCCAGCTGGCGAGAAGTGCGACAGGACTCCCGGGCCCTCTCCACGGCCACCCGCCACCACTGCGCAGGGGTGGCCTGGGTGCTCCGGAGAGGGGCGGGTGTATGAAAAGATACCCCACGGACACACCTACTCTGCGGACTGCGTGCTGCGGTCTTTGTCCGCTCGCCCTTCCGCGCGGGCCTCGCACTCCCTTTTCTGGCCGGCAGGTGGCGCGCTTGGTTCACGATGAGCTGCCGCCGGAGAGGGAAAGGCGCTTCCATCTCTCCGCGGTCGCCTTCCCGCTGGGACCAAGGCCCGGGAGGAAAACCTGGCCCTACCCCGTGGGGAGCCAGAAGAGGGGTGGTTTGGGAGGAGGAGAGAAGGAGGGAGGCCTCGTCAGGAATCGGGGCGTCTTCAAACGTCCGGAGAAATTCACCGAGTCACGTCGGGGGCCGGGCCCCGGGCCGCCTGCTACGTTGCGGTCTCTGGGCAGCGCTCAGTTGGCTGCGCCCGCGTCCGGGGCATCAGGGGACAAACCAGGGCCCAGTGCTGCCTGGGCCCCCAGGAGGCCCACAGTGACACCCGCAGCACCTCGGCGGGGGCGGCTGCGCGGACTTCTGCGGGTCCTGTCGCTCAGCACCGTCTACTGGGGCGGCGAGAGCTGTCCGGACCAGCGCAGGGGAGCAACGGGAGCGCAGGGCGGCAGCAACCGCTCCGGGCAGCCCCCGAGCTCGGGTTTGCGGCAGGTCCCGGCACTTCCACTTCAGCTCTTCGCCTCTACCCCCCGGGCCCCGAACTTGCTAGGCCCGGTTCCAGGGACTCCCCACGGGGAACACACAGTTGGCTCCCGGCAGCCAAGGCCATCTCGGGGCGCCTTGCCGGGGTGGGGAGTCCTGTCCCGGGGCCGGGGAGGTGGAAGCGCCTTTCCCTCCACTGCTGAGCGCGGAGATGGGGCCTGAGGGGGCTTCTCCGTTGCTAGAAAGTCTTTCGTTCAGTCTCTGGAGACAGGCCGAGGGCTGCACTCGACGTTGGGGACTGATTAGGTACCGCTCTCCAGGCAGCTGGGAGCCTGGGAAAAAAGCAGTAATCAAGCCACAGAACTCTCCCCAAAGAGCATTTCATATGTAGATGCACCACAAAGACACAAAATGGGGCCAGGAGCCAGGTAGCAGAGAGAGGCCGCGGCCGCGCGCAGGAGCGAACGTGTAGCCTGAGTCGGGGCGCGCGGGAGGCTAACACTTCGACCCTCAGAAAAAGAGCAACAGCAAAGAGGCAGGTCAACTTGATACTTTTTTTATTGCAATAAAAGAGCATTTTCCTCCATCTCAAACCGCCCGAGGCGTAAGATTGGGTTCCCAACCTTTCCTCGGACTTCCCCCAACCAATTCAGAGTCTTTCGAAGCTCCTTCCGCCGTCGAGGGGCTGGACCGCTGAGATGCGACCAGGGGACCCGCTGCTTCACTCCAGCAGGGGAGGGACGCGGCAGAACTCGCCCCCTTAATCCCGGGGAGACCAAGCGCCCAGCCGAGCCGAGTGGGCGGGGCATAGGGGCGGGCTCTGCTCATCGGGGGCGGAGCAAGGCAGCCCCTTCTGCGCTACTATTGGCTGCGGGCCCCGGACTGGCGGGTGCACGTCACGGGCCGGGCCCACCCCCTTGGCAATGTCTTCAGCCTGCTGCACTCCTAACTTAAGCATTTATTCCACTGGGATAGAAGCGGCAGGAGCAGCGTTAGCACCGGCGAACCATGGCTGGGATTTTTTATTTCCTCCTCTTTTCGTTTCTGTTTGGGATTTGCGACGCTGTCACCGGTTCCAGGGTGTATCCCGCGAATGAAGGTAAGAACGGGGCGGCCTTTCTGCGGTCTGGGACAGAGAGACGAAGATCGGCGGGTGAATGGTCCCCGGGAGCGCGAGGCCGGAGGGTGCAGGGGGATCCCGGCGCGAGCGGTCGCCTTGACTCCGGAGAAAGGGGTCTGGAGCGAGGGGAACCGCGAAGGGAAGGCGGGGAGCGGCCGGGCAGCCTGCCTCGGGGCGGTGACCCGTACGTGTGGCGAGGTTGCCCAAGTTTGTAGCGAAAGGACAAAGTTTATCGGCATCCACCGGCGAGGGCAGCCCGAGGTGCCCCGAGGGGATGCATGGGAGACAACGCCAAGAAAACAAATAAATAAATAAAATTTGTGGACCTACTCCTACCGCCCCTTACCCACTCAGCCCAGGTCGAGGGGGAACGGAAACCTGGAGGTCCCTGAGGGTATGGTGGTGCTCTCGGGTTCTTGCGAAAGCTTTGCGAGCTCTGGTTTCTGCAAAGTTTCCCGAGCCCTGCGCTTCCCGGGACCTGGCTGCCGGGCCTCCGCCGCGCAGCGGTCGTGGCGCCGCTCGCCGGTCGCTGGTGACCTGATTTGATTGCTAGCACCCGGCGTCAGATACCTTTCGCCCAGCCGGGCCCCCGCGCCGTCGGGGTGCGATTGCTGGCCTAGGGGACACCAAGCTCCTCATGTCACCCCGCAGACCTTGGGAACCCGCTGGCAAGCTGAACGTACTCGAGTTTTAGCTTTTTGCCCCTACAACTGTACACCGGGTTAGTTTGAAGGGAACGTGCCGGACCAACTGGATCAGTGTAGGTGCTCAGTTTTATGTGCGTCTGTTTGGACATGCTGGAGGGCTGTGTGTGTGTGTGTGTGTCTGTGTGTGTCTGTGTGTGTGTCTGTGTGTGTGTCTGTGTCGGGGAGGTGGGGGTTTATCATTTAGTTTCTGATGATCTCAGAGAAAGGCGAGTTGCGTGTGCGTGTGGGTATGCGCGCGCGCGCGCGCATATGGGTGTCTGTGGGTGCGCGGGTGTCCGCGTCGACGCGGACAATTGTGTGCCTGCGCTCGAGTGCCCCGATTGTGTGCGCTTATGTTCCGGCGATGCTCGCGCTCGAGCCTGCGCGCAACTGGCTCGCCGACTCCTTTACCTCCCCACCCTCCCCCATCCATCCATCCATCCATCCATCCATCCATCCATCCGACTGTCCATCTCTCCGGGATCCGTGCATCCATCCCCGTACAATCTATCATTTTCCCTGTTCCGAAGGAGGGAGCCAAAAACCAACTTAGCCTTGGCTGGGCGGGCGGTGCCAAGAGCTCGCCGGACGCAACCTCCCAGAGATTCACACACCTGCCGGCAGACAAGGCTTGGGAGGAAAGAGGCGCTCTGTCACCCTTTCGATCTCCTCTCTCCTACCGACGTGGGCCATCTCGGTCCCTGCTGCCCCTCGGTCCCTGGGGTCGTTCCTCTGAGCGGTATCGTGGATCCCGCGTTCTCCTGACTACTTCGCACTCTTGTTAGGACGTCCCCCAAGACCTCTCTGCAGCAAACGCAGAGATTTTTTCCTTTTTCCCCCTTGTTTTTTCTTTGGGGAGCAAAACTTGGGAGCCCTAGACAAAAAAGGCGGTGATGGAGCTGTAGGCTGATGTAGAAAGGAGGGGGGTCAACCCCTCTCCGACCCCTCCTCCCCCTTAAAAATTAATTCATTTTGTTGCTCTTTATTCCCATCACGTTTTCTTTTCTCCCTTTTACCCTCCCTTTCTACTCCCTTCCTTTTTTTGTAAATTGGGTCTTATTGTTCCCTTTGTGTCCCTAATCCACCTTACATAAATCCAAATGGATGTAGCGGGCTTTTCTCTAGAGACCAAGAGGAGAGAAGGGGGGGGGGCGCAACTCCGGGCGGGAGCGACCCAGGGAAGGCTCTACATTTTAAAATAATTAACAGAACCTAGGAATTCAGGTTTCTCGGGAAAATCAGGAGAAAGAGTCTCATTTTTAACTACTTTGACGTCGGGGTGAAATGAGAGGAGAGGTGGGCAGAATTCAGGGGCCGGGGGGCGAGACTGAGAGTTGGGGTGCGCACGAGCAAGGGTGAAGGTTTCCCATTTCCCACCCCTCCCCCAGCCTGAAGAGCCAGCCTCCCTGATCAAATTAATAACCCAGTGGTTCCTTTGAGATGGGCCTTTCGACCCCCAGGCCTGCAGATCTCGGTGGGAAAGACAATGCGGAGAGTTTAGGAATTCATTGCGTCGTTTTCAATGTTCTCGGTGCCTACGACTGTTCCAGCGTGGGCGGGGTGCGACCGTCGTATAGCCGCCCTCCCGGTCCCCCCAAGCCTGGATGCATACTCTGAGGTGTAGCACAAGCATACTAAATCTATTAGGCAGTCCTCCATAACTAAAATTTAAACCAGTGATTTCCTCTTGGGGGAAGGAGTCTCCGATTGTCTTCAAAAAGGCCAAATAGAATACTTAAGTGTATTTGCATTCTAATTCCACACGTCTGCCATTTCCCCCTTCTGAAACTTTGATATTTAAAAAAGCAGCGGATACCACATCCAGGGCCTATTTATTTGGTGGTGGAGGAAAAAAAAAAAAGTGGTAGGGGAGAGAGCCTTTTCATGACCCTTTTGAGTACTCTCTGATAGAATTCACTTGTGGCTCTGTCACCATGATGATGAGTTATGCGGTCATCTGAAACTTGCAAAAACAAATAACTCTAGTAGATACCAGACAGAGATGAATGCAGATTTTGCTTGGGAGTGTAACTGCCCTACATAGATATATTTATTTTTTGAATTGTACTTGAGATTCTCAATTCATCCTTTTTAGAAAAAGAATCAACTGAGTCCTGGGATGGAATTTTAAATGGTAAGCAAGTTAAATAAATAAGAACCTGCAGATTTAAAGAGGGGAGAGATCGAGTGAGTAATGATTATTTACATAAGTGAGACCGGGTTTAGGTTTTGATCAGAGTTGGATATGCACACCCTCGGCACATATGGAAACGCTCAGGCAAATGGTTTTTTGTAGTATTGGCTTTTTGCAATTGGAAATTAATCTATTTTTCTTTGGTTTTTTGCAGTTACTTTACTGGATTCCAGATCTGTTCAGGGAGAACTTGGGTGGATAGCAAGCCCTCTGGAAGGAGGGGTAAGTTCCGAATTGCTCTCTGATCCACAGGGTAAAAAGGAGTGATTAGCAACTTTCTGAGAGTCCTAATGGTGTGATTCTTGTTGATTGTGGCCGGGGGTCAGATTTCCGCCATGGCCTATGAAGTGAATTACGCTTTGTTGGAGAAATCCTATACTCCCTTTGGATAGCTCTGTCATGGAAGAACTGGAATCCAAAAGGGGTTTCCAAACTAGGAGATTGGTGGAGGCATTGCCTCAGATGCCTATTTAAGACTAAAACACCAACAAGAAATACGATCTGGGGACCAAATTCGTATTTATGCCTATTGCAGTGATAGCCATGAAGTCCTGACAGGGTTAATTTTAGAGCAATTGTTCTATTTCCAGAGGAGGAAAATGAATAAATAAAAATACCAGGGAGAGAACATTTCTAATTGTACCAGGAGCAGGTTTAGTTCTGTGTGTGAGCAGCGGGGGGCTCTGTAACTTGCTATGACAATCTTAAATCAGCTGCTTTTCACTTGCACGCTGAGAGAAAGCCTTACAAACTTGTACCAAGGGCAACATCTATGCAGAAAAAAAAAAAAAAAAAAGCCCCAAGTTTGGCATTGTTGTTACTAAATATGAAAGTTAAAGTATTTGGAATCTTGGATCTTTGGGGACTGGGGAGGCTGGATTATAGAGTATGAGAGGGCATCACTGTTCATTTCTTCTTGAATTTGCCATGAGAATAGAATTAGGTCAATAGCCACATTCTCCTACCCCATCCTCCCCCCTTAATAATAGGTCAGAATGAATCAGCTTTGGAAAGAAATCGGTACAATGTGTAACTCTGGCATCTGCCAAACTGAAACTCTCAAATCCTTTAAAAATTAAGCATATCATCCTACCTTTACATGCCTGATAGTCTACGACTGAGCCATTTGATTAAAAGCAGTGGGGGTGAAAGATTAGGAGTCTTTATCAGGCAAAAATTGTAATGCCAGCACCCAGTACGGCGCTCCACACCTGGCCATTGAATAAACAATAAAGGATTGAAAAAAATAAAGATTCACAGAAACTGTTATAGAAGATGGGCTTCAAAAATAAGACAAGGCAAGAATGGAAAATTTTAGGCTTTTTCCAAAGCAAGTCTTGTCATCCATTTGAAATAAAATGGAGATTGTCCTGCCTTCCTGTTTTTCTGCCTGAACTTGACTGAAGTTGGTTGGGTCTCTGCTGAAAAATTCTAGTCTGCCCTCAAAACCATTTTTTTTTAAAGGGAGGGAGAATGATTGGCAGGTCTCTGGCAGTGTAGACAGGCTGTATTCACCGCTGATTGCAGGCAATTGCCCTCATCCTTTGAATGCGAAGAAAGGTACAGCTTTATCTTGTGAGAGTCAGACTCTTGTTAATCCTATACCCTGGAAAGGTCATTGATTCAAGGAGGCTTTCCCATGCTACACCAGAGGTATTGCTCTGTAGGCCGAATGTATTAGAACTGCTGGCAAAACTGAGGATGGAAGGTATCAGTACTTGCATTAAAAAAATTAATGAGCCTTATTTTTCTTACTGGCTGTTCCCAAGTTTGAAGAGAGGATACGTCTAGTATGATTTTGGACCTGACTTGTTACACTAAATATACATGTGACCTATTGAAAAGCAAAGAGTAACACATTTTCAAGTACAGTTCATGGTCTATCTAGTTTCTGGGAAGCTTTTATTGCAACTTAATATGCTACAGACATCTCCCTCCCCCCACCCCAGCTCCCAGAGAACTGTTGAAAGAGCACCTGGTCACTTTTTCTAGACACAAAACTTCTTTTGGTTGTCTCCATGCCCCTTAAAAAAAAAAAAATAATAACTGTGCATAGCTGACTGTACACAACCCAGAACCTTTTATGGGCAGAATGTGGACTTCTGAATATAGAATGTATTCCTTCCCTTTCCTTAAATACCATGTGTGTAATGTTTTAAATATTGTTAGGAAACATAAAAAATGAAATTTTATTTGTGTATAATAGAATTAGTCCTTCCAAACTACATAGTAGCCATTGAGAAATTATGTGCCAAATTATAAAGTTTAATTAATTTCTAGATTTTGTAATAAAGAAGACTTTTTTGGGCCTAGAATGAAGGGGTAAATTGGATATCTAACAAGTAGGGGGTGGATTGGCTTTAAAAAAGTCTTTCTGAGTGTGAAAGCGTATTTGAATCTTTGGATTATTCTGAAATCTCTACTTATTGTTAGAACAGTTCACATCTTTCTTGGCTGGAAATTTGAGATTATAATTTTGACGAATAATGACATTTATTTGTTTGTTGTTGTTGTTATTTTTAAAAAGAAAAAGAAACCTTATGTGACAATACCACCAGGTCAAAAATGAATTGTAGTCACTGTTCTTTCATTTTTCCATCAGAACAGCTAAGCAGAACATGAAAATAATGGAAAGTGATGGTTTCTGATGGCAACATTGTAGCAAAAACCTAATTTCTTTTCAGTGTTCATTTAAAGGAGTATACTGAGTTTCTGACACTGATTGTAAAATGCAAAACTAAGGGGAGATTTGTCCTTGTTCTGCTGAATTGATCAATGTGTTTAGACAATTAAGTTCGGCTGGAAAATTCGAATTAGACCTGAATTATGTGTATGAACTGTGGAGATATCCCTATGTGCTTTCATTTACATTGATAAATGTGTTTTTCCATATTTCCTTTGTTCTGAGATGAGAAGCATGCTGAGTAGGTTTTTTTGAAGGTGGGGATCTATTTTTGGATTTACATGAATTTCCCCCAAATAAGTAAATTACTGGTGATTTATTGCTTAGTGGATAAAAAGAAATTTTAATCACCACAGGGCACTTAACTCTCCCAGTTCTAAAACTTTCATAATGGTGGCAGATGAAAGGGATACAGAATTTTATGCATTATGACCCTTCACATAGTAACATTTCCATCTATTAATAGTTTTCCAATGCACAGATGGGAAACCTGTTAAAAGATATGTTATGATTCTGTGTACTTCATTGGCTTGAATGGAGCTTTAAGTATAGCTATTACAGAATACAAATTTTTTTTAAACTTTTTTCTTCTAATTATATTCATGTGTTAGATACTTAAGCTGATTTATACCAGATCTATATAAAGGAATTACTGTAGATATTAACGAAGAATTGGAGGCTGTCTATCAGTCTGGTAGGAGCCCCAAATTATCTTGCTGCTTTTAGGATTATTTTAAAAGCCACAGCGAGAATGAAACTACAACGCTAGTCACAGTGAATTTTGCTGAACTCAGATTATCCCACTATGAGAGTCTCTATGTTAGGAAGTAGATTGAAAGAAAACCCTACTATCCTTCTTTAATTTTCTTGGGCTTTGACTCATAAATACCACTTACTGTTTTATTCTCAATATCCACAGTCTATTTAGAAGCAATGCACGTGTGCATTCGTGTTTACTTTGTTTTAAAAATAAGAACAGTATACAAACTTTTTGACTGAATACATGTTCTTGAAAAGTGTTCTACCATTATAAATGACAGTGTATTTGAGAAATCTAACCATAAAGTTTACTCTCTGTCTTCCCGGGATTACCAAAACCAAAATGGTGAGATTTTCTTTACCCCTTTAAAGAGTAGTGACATCGCCAAAAAAAAAAAAAAAAAAAAAAAAAAGACTTTTTTTTTTAGGTATTAGAGAGCAGAGTTCTGACAGGAGCACCACTGATTGACTGATAACTGTCTTCCTTTGGCAGACTCTGCACTTCCTGCTCTTAATTTGCAGGTCTCTGCTCAGTTGTTGAAACAATACACATACTAGTTTTTTCATTTATGAGTAAGTTCGAACTGTTGTCACTTGAACCTGTAGCACTTGTAATAGGTGAATTTGAGGTTGTTAGACCACCACGAACGAGGAACTGCTGAGAACTCAAAAGCAATCAATTCAGCAAAGCCTCTGGATCTGAGGCAAAAGAGTGAAAATTAAAATACTTTCCCAATATAATATCACCTTGGTGAGGAATTAGTGCTGGGTAGCTTTCTTTCTTACTGCAACAAAAATCATCACTGTGCTATGAGGGTAAAATAGAACTGATAAGTCACGGTGTGATGAAATGTTTGTAATCGATGCATTTCCTTTGGATCTTTGCAGTGGGAGGAAGTGAGTATTATGGATGAAAAAAATACGCCAATCCGAACCTACCAAGTGTGCAATGTGATGGAGCCCAGCCAGAATAATTGGCTGCGAACTGATTGGATCACCCGAGAAGGGGCTCAGAGGGTGTACATTGAGATCAAGTTCACCTTGAGGGACTGCAACAGTCTTCCGGGTGTCATGGGCACTTGCAAGGAGACGTTTAACCTGTACTACTATGAATCAGACAACGACAAGGAGCGTTTTATCCGAGAGAGCCAGTTTGCCAAAATTGACACCATCGCCGCCGACGAGAGCTTCACCCAAGTGGACATTGGCGACCGGATCATGAAGCTGAACACGGAAATCCGGGATGTAGGCCCGTTGAGCAAAAAGGGGTTCTATCTGGCGTTTCAGGACGTGGGGGCCTGCATCGCCTTGGTTTCGGTCCGAGTGTTCTACAAGAAGTGTCCGCTCACCGTTCGCAATCTGGCTCAGTTTCCAGACACCATCACAGGGGCCGATACGTCTTCCCTGGTGGAAGTTCGAGGCTCCTGTGTCAACAACTCAGAAGAGAAGGATGTGCCAAAAATGTACTGCGGGGCAGATGGTGAATGGCTGGTACCCATTGGCAACTGCCTGTGCCATGCCGGGCATGAAGAGCGGAATGGAGAATGCCAAGGTAAGGAGAGCCATCTTGTACTTTTCATTAGGGCTGAGTGCACATAATTAAATCAGAGATGAGACTAAATGGAGTAAAGCCAGTAATTAGCAGCCCCTGTGGGATGTGGTGGGACAGAGGGGTCTAATGAGTAAGTGCTACAGCTCCAGGTGGCAAAGCTAAGACGATTCTAATACTGACAAAATAAATGATGCTGCTGTAATCAGCAGAAGGCCAAACACATTTGCTAACAGGCACTTAGATCTGAACCGGCTTGATGTGCCCTCTGAAATGTAAATGAACAAGCTGAAGAAAGGCCCTGATTGATCCTTGCTTAAAGAGGGCCGACACATTTTCGAACCATGGTTCTCCTGTCCGTAAACATCTCTCCTCGTGTGGATGTGTACATGAATGATTTAAAGGTGGAATTAGGATTTGTTGTTCCAGTTTCCTCCTGCTGATTAAAATTGAGCTGTGCGAGGAAAGTCCAGTTTTTCCTGCCTTGTGGACCAGTGTAGACATGGCCCAGCAAAGTGGAGTGGCAAGGTTTCAAGTGCCTTATGTTCCACTGAGCACCCATTGATAGGGTTTCCAAGTGAAATGAATCTTGATGAAAGACCTCTTGATTTCCCTGAGGAGGTGATAAAGAGCTAGGAAGAGTCTTCTTATTCGATCTGTGGTCAGAGGCAATAGTAAATTGTAATCCATTTTGATTATTGAGTTTCTGAAGAAATCCAGATTTTTTTATCATGTTAATTACTATTTATCATATTACTAAGGTGACTTTTTTTTTTTTTCCCTCTCACCTAAAGTCCTGTGTCTGCAATTCCCTCTTCCCTTATTTCGCCTTTCTGGGGAGTTTGCAAACTTGTCTTCTTTATAGCAGCTTTGTGTTTGAGGAAGGATTGGGAGTAATCCATATTTATATGGATTGCTCATGTCATGTGTGGATTAAGGCTTAAAAAAAAAGCAGTTATTCCAAGATTTTAATTTTTGCTTGGTATTTATTTTCAGTGGTTATTAATAGTCTGCTGCTGCCAGTCTTATTATGGTTACTACTAAAGCGTGTAACTCTCGGTCCCATCTCTGGAACAGATCAGATTAATCTTTTCTCAGGGTAATTGTTGAACTGTAGACTGCATTGCCACATGGTTCATCTGATTTGGCGATTAAAGAGCCCGAAATAACTGACTGCCAAACAATTTGTCTGGCATTTCAACCATCTTAATGACAGGGTGGGATTAACTATGGAGCAATCCACTTGACTGATTGGAAATCAACAGTTATAACCTAAAGAAAGTTGCATTTGGGGTAGTTTGGTGTCATAGAATTATGCATTTCTCCTTTCAGAGTTCATAAGTGTCATTCTTGATCTGCTATAGTTATTTCTAGGCATAGCTAACAATGACTGTCTTTTAACTGCATTGAAAAGTAAAACAGAATAAAGGCTGGCAACCTTTTCTGTTGACCTAGAGTCAAAAGGTAAACTTGTGAACTTGAAAATTTAAACGTTGGAATTTCAAGGGTTTTTTTGTTTTGTTTTGTTTTTACAAAGGTTGATTTCTTGCCATTTTGTTAACTCTTGACTTGGCAACTACTAGCTAAGCTGTACCAAATGGAAACCCTGAAGTAGATTCTGGTATTAACATTAGAAAATACGTGAGTGCATTGTTACTGGCACTGAAATTACAATCATCATAGCAGGAAGAGTGAAATGAATAGGGCAGTGACATTGCATCACATTTTAGAGTAAATTATTCTGCCTTTTTGATTTTTGTAAGACAGGACTTGCACATCTTTACATTTCAAGATTCTTATATATATTTAAACACACACACACACACATTGTCTTCCATTTCTTGCTCAAATGTTCATGCTTCTGGCATTAGTACATTTCTCTGTATCTAACGTCATTGATTTCCAATTGTCACAGAGCCCAGTAACTCATACATTGCTGCACAGTGAGACTCCTTGACATTTTTACAACCCAAATGAGAAGGAAAAGAGAAAAAGATGGAGGGGGAAGTGAATGTAAAGGCAATTGAACATGGTAGTGGTTGGCTTTATGGAAATAACCTTGGGAATCCAGTTCATCATCATGTGGTCCATGGAAAGGGTGAGGCTTCATGTTTTAGGTCCAGTCCGTTTCTGAGCAAACTGTTCCTAACACAAGGCGAGATATTTAATGGAAGGGGAAGGTCGATTAAGCTATTTTTGAGAATCTTTGTTCTCTGCACTCTTGCTACCCAGGTATTTTCTTTGCTACTTGTAAAATGATTAAATCTTTCAAGAAGACACTTTTTGCACAAAACCTTGCACTTTGCTTGTATTTAAGACTACCAGGTAAGAATCTCTGATGAATTTAGGGAGGAAGAAAAAACTTGAATGACAACAATTCTAAAATTCCAAATTTGAGTGAGAATTTTTAGGAATAACTCAAGACTGTAAACATCTTAAGAGTAATGAAAATGGTTTCCTCCATCCGTGCCATCATTACTGGAGTATCAGGATTATCTAGGAAGAGCAGAAAGAACATCAACACAAGGAAATGTGTCTCAGTTTGGTCACTTAGCTGCAAGACCTTAAGCATTTCTTCAGCCCTCTGAGCCTTGGTTTGTTCATCTATAAAATGGGTTGATAATAATTGTACTTAGCTTAGAGACTTGCTATGAGGACACAGTGATGTCAAATTAGTAAAAATCACCTTTTAGATCATAAAGCATTAATCTGATGTTAATGCTAACATTTCCTTTATCACTCAGCTCTTACCAAGGTCATAGCTGTTGAATTTTAAGGTTGTTGAGTTAAAATGGTAAAAGGGAAGTCCATCTTACAACCGCTCTTAGAAGTCAAGGACAAAGATAGGAAGCATTGCCTTTGCCCTAACAAAGAATAACATTCATTTGAAAATGATATTTGGAGAGTGTCATTTTTTTCCCCTCCCCTACAGGAAAGACAACTTTCTTCTGAGTGAAAGAAAAGTGATTTGGAAGTGGGACAAGAAAGACCAGGGCGTAAAGGGAGCTTAAGAAAGGATATAAAGGAGAATGGGCAAGTCTTCAGAACTCTGGCTGCAGGTTCCTCCCCAATTGTCTTTTCAATGGGTCTGCTGTGGCAGGACAAATAGAAGAACAGGTGAAAGGTCACTTACTTCCTCATCCATCTTCCTTGGGGTCTGGGAGGTCAGAGTGAAGATTGATTAAGATCTTAAATGTTTGACAAAAGATCCTTGGGCAAAAATGGCCAGGGCGGGTGGGGGCCTGGGGTGTGCTGTTGTTTGCATCTAACCCTGGTCATCGGCTGGAGTCCTCAAGGGACCTTGGGGACAGGACTACACTTCCTCTTGGAGTTCTTACCTCCAAGCAGTACATGCAAATGCAGACGGAGGTGAGTGGCCGTGTCAAAAGTGTCAAGAGCGGCAGGGTGATGGCGGGCATTGCCTTCTGAAGCAGCTGCAAGTTCATTCTGCCCTTGAATACCATTTTCTGAAATGATCTGGCTCGGTCTCAGCAGGACAAAAAAGAGTGTAAGCCACTCATTTGTCTTCTCCAGGAGAATGTCTGCCTGGTGTTAGCAGTAGTTTGAACTTGCCTAGTGATTGGGTGCAGCGGATAAGTAACTGCTAGTTAGTAGGAAAAAGGAAACAAAATCCTCCTGAGACATGTCCCCCCCCTCGCCCCCGGGAGGGAATGTTCCAGATGTTTTACAGGATTGTTTTATTACCTCAGAAATATTAAGCAGGAGGAAGAGAGGAAAAGATTCTTTATTAACTTATTCTTTGCTTAAATAAAGAGCTGAACAATGAAAGGGAAGTCACAGATTTACTCTTTGTGAAAGATTAATAAGCAATATTTTCAGAGAGCATGGATAAAAATAATACTAATGAAAAGAAAACATTCTTATGGAGTCACTTAAGGCCAAATAATGCTAGGTAGGAATTAAACCTTGCTTAAATACATAATTTTGCTGTAAATTGTTTGGGGTCCTCTATATCTAGGACCTATATTATATATCATTACATATATGATACCTTCCTATCAGCGAAAGGTATCTTATTAAAAGCTCTTTTGAGAAAGAACGATACAGAAATGCTTTGATGGCTGTAAAATAGTTCCCATCTGTGCTCTGAAAAGAGGGAGAGGGCTGTGTTTAGACAAAAATTATTACTTTGTTTTCCTAATATATTATAGAAGGACCGTAGGAGAACACAGTACGGGAAAGGAAGCATTTAAAATATAGTTCAGAGAGATACTGTTATATCCTTTCCACTTCTGAAATTTTTCTTCTACCTTTGAATCATGTCTTTAAGAATCAATTGCTCAAGTCACATGGCTGCTTTTATCTCTGGCTTTGAAGCATGGCTGTGATCATTGAAAGACACGATTCTTTACATCTGAGAAGAGCAGGGTTTAATTATAGTCCTTTTCCCGTTATACTTTTTTATTTTCCCTTCTACGTGTGACCAGGCTTCTTTTGTGAGTGTGAATCAGGCAATGGTCTCTATTTGGGATTCACCAAAGCACCACGTAGGAATTACCTCAGGGATGTTTGAATCCGATATTTAAGATTTGATGATTTATTTTAATCTGACTGAACTTCCTTGTACATTTCAAAAAAAAATGAATTAAGACACAATTATTCTGTTAAGACTTGAGTCTTTAGGAGAAAGACAGATTAAATGGCTTTTCAGTTACTACAGCGCGAAACAGAGGTGGTCATGATACATGTTTGACTTTCACATCGTTGAATTTTAATACTTAGGTTTTTGGGGGGCAATTTTTTTTGCATTTAATTAATGAATTTAACATTACCAAAGAACTGTATGCTTCAGACTCTTACTCCAACTTATTTCTGAGTTCCCACTCTTTATGATTTGGTAGATAATGCGAATATATCTATATTCATGTATTTTAAAAAATTATGGAAATGGAATCATCTTCTTGTCATCTTGTTTTTAAGATGCTTGACTGTTTGTCATGGACATCACTCCATATTAGAGAATATAACTTTTTTCCATCCTT